GGCAATACTGGAGTGACATCAGAGTAAGTCAAAGTATTCTGGATTAGGTGGATCAATAGCTTTACAAATGTTTTGATACTCTCTATGAGTACAGTTTATATTAGAACGTACAACAAAGCTGGTGTGATCCAGTAGAACACCTTTACAATCCATCAAGTCAGTTACAAAGAGAATTCCTTTGTCAAACCATTCAGCTTTTAATACTGATGTCCTGTTTATAAGTATTGTTCTATTGTTCCACAGAATCGAACTGTGCGGAGTAAGGTTATGTGTGAACATCATTTTCCAAAAGTGTAGTATTTGACTATGAAATTTAGACAGCGCAAGTGGAATCTTATTAATATCGAAATCACCAAGCTCCCATGATGGCGTTTGTTCCGGGAACAGCCCATAGATCACTCCTGACGGCTGGTGATGCTTGTGCCGCAGTGCATTTTGGGACATCTGATGGCTTTCTCGGAAGCGATGATGACGAGACGCCACTTTTTTTTACTAGTCTCTGCTGTTTGAGCCTATATGGTTCTACGATATCTTCTCTTAATATCTACTGTTGTTATTTCTTAAAGCAGTTTTATGCATGTAATTGCCATTGTTTTTCATGGTTGCAAATGTCTTAGTGTTGTGTTTATGAAGAGTTCATAATGCTTTGTCAGACAATTGGTGTACAATTTTAAGTGTGTGATGCATTTAGTTTATGAATCTGAAAGAAAAGACTTGCATGTTGCTCTCAGGATCAAAGTTCTGCTTAGTTATTTTCAAAATGCTTAGTTATTTGTATATTAATAGAGATACATCCTTACTGTATTGGCATTTATGATTGTCTGTATGATTTTGAATCTGCTTAATCCAACAGGTAAACAGAAACAATAAATAATAACTGGATGTTTTTTTTTTGTAATTGTTCCCATACAAATATATACATATATAATCATAGATCAACACATGCATCGACCCATTCCCTAATGGAAAGATTGTATTGAGTTTAAACCGATCAAAATCTCAAATGAGATCCCAGTGGATATACCCGGATTCTAAAGAAATAATCAATGGAATTCCATTAGCTTACTATGGGGATTGTTCAGGATTTATCCACGCGTAGACCAGTAACGAAACCTAATGGGAATGATGCCACATCATTCCAGAGAACAGGGTAATGAGCGCTGTGGGTGAATGCTGGGAAAGTGTTTTGCATGGTAAGTCTTACGCTATATGCATGGTTAGTCATGCTATAATACAAACAATATGTGTGTGTCAATATAGACATAATTTTTTTTTTAAGTATATATTTTCAAAAATATACAAAAAATGGCCCAAAATATATGGGTAGAAAATATATTTACGCAAATATATTTTGAAACACATTTTTGCAAATTTGACCCTTTTTTTTGGATATTTAAAAAAAAAAACTATATATAAGTTTACTTATATATATATATATTGTAACAGGGGTTTTTGGGTTTTGTTTCATGTTCATGTTTTCATGTTTTTAATTTCGGAGTTTTGTCATCACACACACACACACATATATAAACTGTGAATTAGGTTAAAATCGAGAACACCGAACAGTGTTGTTAGACCGACATGTAGCACTGTTGAGCTTCAGCCGTCCCGAGTTCGAGTCCCAGCTCGCAGACCTTTCCTGATCCAGTCCCCCTTTCTCTCTCCTACTGCGCTTCCTGTCCACTCACTGTCCTTTCGAAATAAAGACATAAAACACAAAACAAAAAAGTTAAATCACAACACTGCTGATGAGAACTGATCTTTGAAAACTCGATCTGATCTAAATCGTGATGACAGTCCGATATGTCCTTCAGCCACAAAAAGTTCTTGCAGACGTAGAAGCAGTAAAAAGTGAAATTACTGTACTGGTGAAGAAAGTGAATTTGGAACAAAACTGAGATTTGATCTAGATATTTATGATGATCCGACAATAGGGCTGGGCGATATGACAATATTATCATATATGGAAGATGTCTTCAAGTGAGGTGAAGCAGATACTTCAGTAGACGGCGGTAAAGTTAGTTTGACGTTTGACATTCATTAGACATTCGGGTTTTTTGCCAATTAAACTCTTTGCGGCTTTTATGTTTTGAGCCCAAACTAACTCAGATAGACATAAATATATGCCCTTTATGTTGCACAAGGCTTAATTTCTAGGAATTAAAAAAATAATAATTAACCATTTAAATTAATTAAACAATTTAACTACGTGACATTATAATATAAAACCAATACTAAAATGTTCGGAAAAACATACCTGTTATCGCACAAAGCTCCGTTTTTGGAATTACAATTTTATGTTTTTTATAATAATTTTACAACTTTTAATGTATGCAATAATATAAATCCATTAAACGACAACACCATTTGATCTAAAGGTATCAAACAAACTGTAAAATATTCAGAATATTATTCCCTATAATGCACAAGTCTTGGTTTTCCAGATTATGCCTTTACTGTTTTTATATACATAAGTAAACTTATACTTTTTTTTTTTTTTTAAATATCCAAAAAAAAGGGTCAAATTTGCTAAAATGATTTTCAAAATATATTTGCGTAAATATATTTTTTACCCATATATTTTGGGCCATTTTTTGTATATTTTTGAAAATATATACTTTAAAAAAAAATTATATCTATATTGACACACACATATTGTTTGTATTATAGCATGACTAACCATGCATATAGCGTAAGACTTACCATGCAAAACACTTTCCCAGCATTCACCCACAGCGCTCATTACCCTGTTCTCTGGAATGATGTGGCATCATTCCCATTAGGTTTCGTTACTGGTCTACGCGTGGATAAATCCTGAACAATCCCCATAGTAAGCTAATGGAATTCCATTGATTATTTCTTCAGAATCCGGGTATATCCACTGGGATTTCATTTGAGATTATGGCTGGTTTCGATACAACATTTCCATTAGGGAATGGCACGAGCATGTGTTGATCGACGATTTTTTTTCCCCACTCCCACCGCTTTCTGATGAAAGTTGCGAAACCGAAAGTTAACGGATCAATTGAGAACGGCTATATTACCGCTATTCTCCGCATTCTAAACTATTCTGTCCCATCATAGCAACGCTTGGGCTGTAATGAACAATCAGAACAGCCCTGCTTCTGTTTGAAAGGTGAACGTAGAGGTGATGGAGCGCTTTCTCGCGTGCGCTGCTGCATGCACCTGTGTAGGTGTGATCTATATGCAGTGGACATACTTTTGGATGCTCAGGTCAGAAATGGCAGAGATAACGCAGCGCTTCAGGCCTCTGGATACAGCGAGAGACGAAGGTGGGATATGCTGCGATTCCGCCGTGTGCTACGGGGTAGGTGAGTGTTTTAATGACAGTGCTATTTAACTGCTTAAGGGTTTTCATCTCTCGCTTCACCAACAACATGATTTTTATTTTATTTTTTTTGCACCTGTAACCTGGTTATACCAAAGTATTCTCTAGAGAGTAAAATAATGATTCAGTACTACGGTACATGTCAAAGTACAGCGGTATTGGCATTGCTGGTCTTTTAAAGCACCTTGAAGTACCATCACTGTGGTATATGAATATGGCTACTCATAGTTATTTACATAGTAGTCCAATGCATTTTCAACAATACCATGGTACAGTTCCAAAAAAAATCATAGTGGTACCATGGAGTTTAATTGTGCAACTAATTTTCACTTCCTCATCTGTGTTAAAATAAATATTACACTTGCAGAACTGGTGGCTGCCTTCTGCTCACAATGCATAAAATAAAATCAGAAGCAAATAGTCAGTCAGAATGGAGCATGCTTACCGATTTAAACAAATTAGGACACCGGAATTCCCTTTAGTCTTCCTTAAATTCATTTCAAGCAATAGTATTTAATTCAAAAGCTTAGGTTGGGAATTTTCTCAATGGCAGTCATTCATCAGACTCTGATAATCAAAGTGCATTTAGCGTGTTCTTGAAGTGTCCTCTGCAACAGCACAGTGAAAGACTTTGGGATAAAACCTCTGTTCATCAGCCACAACCCCAAATCATGACGTCAAGAAATAATGCTAAACACAAATAACAAAAACCAACAAACCACGTATGGCAAGTAGGATATCAAATGCACCAGTTTTAACCGGGACGGGACAACAATGAACAAAATTACCCAAGCAAGATTAAATAGAGCTTCACAAGGAGAATGTTTGTACTGACACACAAAAAAAAAAAGAATGTTTTGTGTACTGATTACTGTCTGCCGAAAGTATGAAACCAAATAATCAAATCATAAAGACTGTATAAGGTCTCTTTTGAGTAATTTGGCATATTGTTGGGCCTGTGCAGTTCATGGTATTTTGACCAAAGGTATGTGCACACCCTCCTCCAAATGGGTTGGGCTATTCCAGTAATGCCTGTGAGGACAATGACCAATAATTGTGTTTTTGGCTTTGTTGCAGTAGTTTGGGAAGAGTCCAACAGGGTTCTGCATGACAATGTTTTCACATGAATTACTGGCATTGCCAAACCCAACAATTAACTCTATTAATTAGAATGGGGTAGACTGGTTGTACAGTGTAACATCTGACAGTTTTGTTTTTACTTTAGTACGAAGTAACCACTGTGTAAAATCCTGAAGCAAAATCAGTGAGCTTTAGTGTGTGATGATGTCTAATTTCCCATAGGCTACATCTTGTTACAAGGTAAGCTGTTATCACAGATTCCCTGAGAGACGAACACATGCAGAGGGCCGAGACAAGAGAGATGTGACAAAACAGAGGAAGAGACGAGAACGTGAGTAACATCTGTCACTCTCTCTCTCTCTCTGTCTTACACACAAACACACATTTTTATGTTTTATATCTCATGTGAATTGTCCTTTCTTTTAGCAGAGCAGCACACATTTCTCCATCTTGTTCCTGTGTCCTCGCAGTCGTACAGTGAGTATAACGCCAAGAGAAAGGGAATAGTTTGACCAAAAATGAAACTCATCCTCACCTCACCATTCCAAACCTGTATGACTTTCTTAATTCTGAAAAAAAAATTGAAGTCTGTGGGTAACCAAATAGTTCTGGTGACCATTGTCAAATACATTAAACAAATTAAAAAAAAAAAAAATACTGAGATACTTCTCAGAACTTCTTCGTTTGTGTTCCACAGAAGAATGTTTTAGAACAACATGAGGGTGAGATATGATGGGGGAAGTTTTTTGTGAACTATCCCTTTAAGAACATATGTCATTTGTAAACATAATTTTGACTCGAAATAGAAAGTCAAAGTTATGCTTTGAGCATCTATCTCTATTACTGGCAAACCATTGTCAAATACATTAAACAAATTTAAAAAAAAAATAAATACTGAGATACTTCTCAGAACTTCTTCGTTTGTGTTCCACAGAAGAATGTTTTAGAACAACATGAGGGTGAGATATGATGGGTGAAGTTTTTTGTGAACTATCCCTTTAAGAACATATGTCATTTGTAAACATAATTTTGACTCGAAATAGAAAGTCAAAGTTATGCTTTGAGCATCTATCTCTATTACTGGCAAAGTAAATGTGGTTTTTGATTACTTCAGCGTGTTATTCAAGTCATGGGGTTGTTATTGTTATTATATTTAGACAGACGTCTAACTGACTTGTCTATATGCATCTGTTATTTCAACGCACTAACTTTGGCTGTTGGTAAATTATGTTTTCAAAAGCATACAAATGTTAAGCCTGCAAGAAGAAGACATGTTAGTTATGATTAATGATTAATTAAAAATTCCCTTCACGATTGATAGACAGATAGATAGATAGATAGATAGATAGATAGACAGACAGACAGAGACAGAGATGTAGTTTGTCTCTCATTTGTTCTCTGTGTGTTTCTCAGATGGTCATGACAGCACTGTTGTGTCTTGGGCCGTAGGGCAGAGCAGAGGGCAGGGGCTGCAGCTATCAGCTGATACTGTTACAGTGGAGGCCGAGGGCACCTACTTCATCTACAGTCAGGTTGGTCTTGTTCGGTACTGATACTACTGCATTATCAAAATAAAGACTTAAAAGGGTTAGTTCACCTAAAAATGAAAATTCATCAATTACTCGCCCTCATGTGAGCTCAGCATACTTGCTTGACGCGCAAGAACAAACCTCATTGGTACGTCAAATGTTTGAGCTTCTGTTCATCAACTTTGATGTGAATACATAAAATGCAAGTCAACCGGCACTTTGAGAGTCAAAAACTTGCATAGACTTGCATTTTATGAATCACCAAGGATCTTGGTTTCAGATAAAAATGTCTTACTGAAAAAAAAGTCAAATTTTTACATCTTTGATGGCCTGAGTGTGAGTGCTAAGGTTAATTTATTTCTACTACTTTTTCAAGTATTTACAGTTAATTGTCCCCAACTCAATACAGTAAATTACTGTTACTCGCCACAGGTGCTGTATAAAGACACCACCTGGGTCATGGGTCATGTGATCACGAAGAGGCTCAAGGGGGCGGAGACTAAGCTGATGAAGTGTCTGAAAAGCATGCCCAGTAACGTCAGCCAGCCTCTCAACACCTGCTACACTGCTGGTGAGTTATCAGGACAATATGGTCCAAAAATGAATTAACTCTTGCCATGTTTATGCATCAGATAGTATCACTCAAATATGCTGTCAGAAAGATTCAACCATTATTTAAATAAGGAAAATGTCACTGCATAACAGTGTTAAAAATGACGGAACTAACAGAAATGACATATTTTAGAACACAGTGAGAGCATGATATTTCAGTTTCAATAAAAGCACATTAGAAGGCTAGAATTCTTTTTTTATATATATATATATATTATAAACAACCCAATCAAATGTTATGAGCATGAATGATAAATGAATAAAATATTTTAAAAAACGAATAATAAAATAAAAATTCATCTGATTAACATAACATTTTATTCCTAAAAACACTGCATTTCTTTTCCTGGTCCTTGACAGTATTTTCTGATTTATGGAGTGATAAAAAGATAAACAAAATCCCTCTATAAAAACCTATAACTCTAATGTCAACAAAATGAAAGAAATATTTTGGACCGGCTTTATTCAATGTTCAGATTTCTGTTCTGGAAATGTATGCAAATGAGTCTTATTTGCATATTTAAATATTTCAGAAAAATGTTGTAATACAAAAATAGTTGTCTTAATGTACTGTGATTCATAACCAGGGAAATCTGGTGATATCGAGTAGTTTTTACCCTGCTCACCTGTGGTGTCTTGTCTTACGCTTCACAGAAAGCATTTGTATTAAAGCACTTTCTGTAGAAATCAACACCATTCCACACAGATGATGAGTTTGAGAAGCTGCCACAGTTCTTCTGTGGATTCAGGCTTTAGTCTCTGTTGCGTCGTGAGATCAGATGTCTGTGCGGACCATACCATCTGCTGTAGAAGTTATTGTTCATACAAAAATCTCACTGGATTATTTTGCAATATTTGCATATATTTACAGTATTATCTAAATATCTGTCTGATTATAAAGCATGTGTTGCTCTCGTAGGAATTTACTTCCTGGAGTCCGGATCCACCCTTCAGCTCTCTGTTCCCCGCAAATCAGCAGAGCTCATCCTGACAGCTCACACCACCTTCATGGGCCTCTTCAACATATGACACGGACACACGTGTGATTTACATGCTTAACAGAAACCTTGTTTATCCTCTTGCATGCTAGTTTTAGTTCAGACACTCGTGCTTTTATGTGGTGAATGGATGACACCTAGTGGACAATTGAAACACTGTGGCATGTTGGAAAGGTACAAAATGCATATGGCACTACTGTGTTTGGACATGGTATCATGGTAATACCATGTGTTTTTGGACATATACTGTGGGCAATGTAAATATCATGTAATATCATTAAAACCACTAACAGATGAAGTGAATAACATTGATTATATTGTTACAAATGCACCTGTTATCAGGCAGCGAGTGAAGAGTCAGTTCTAGAATTTCATATGTTGGAAGCTAGAAAAATGTGCAAGTGAAAAAAGTGACTTTGACAAGGGCTAAATAGTGACGGCTAGACGCCTGGGTCACAGCATCTCCAAAACGGCAAGTCACGTGAAATGTTCCCAGTATGCGTCGGTTAAAACCAACCAAAAGTAGCAATGGTGTTCTCTGATGCCAGTGTCCTCTTTCAGCAGGATTATGCTCCAGACACTGCAAAAATGCATTCAGGAATGGTTCGAGGAGCATGACAAAGAGTTCAAGGTGTTGCCTTGGCCTCCAAATTCCCCAGATCGCAATCCGATTGAGCATAATATGGGATATGCTGGAACAACAAATCCGATCCATGGAGGCCTCAAGACAAGTCACCTTTATTTATGTAGCACTTTATACAGTGTGTAACACTTTATAGTGTTAAACAGGAACATAGTGTTGATAATGCAAGAGGAGGATAACAAAGAGTCATTTTTCCAGATAAAGTCAGTTCATCATTGATTCAGTGATCAGTCATCTTCCAACTCAGTTCAAATAGTATCTGTGCAATCAAGTCGACAATATTGCCAGAAATTAAGTGTCCCCAACTAAGCAAGCCAAAGGTGACAGTGGCAAGGAACCAAAACCCAATCGGTGACAGAAATTGAGAAAAACCTTGAGAGAAACCAGGCTCAGTCGGGGGGCCAGTTCTCCTCTGGCCAGACGAAACCAGCATGATGTGGTTTAATTCCAGGCTGCAGCACAGGTCAGATTGTGCAGAGGACTCGTCTGGTTCCTGTGGTCTTGCGCCGATGGTGGTCGAGGTGACAAGGTCTTCGCAGGGGGTCTGTCTCTGGGGTTCATCTAGTTGATGTGGTCTCTGCTCACATTCAGGGCTGTCGAGGTCGTCTCTATGTGCTGATACACCATCTGATCTGGATACAGACTGGATCTAGAGGCTACGGTGACCTCGGAATAAAAATGAAAGAGACTAATATTAGCATAGATGTAATTCTTCTTACGATGTAGCGAGTACATCGGGTGTTATGGGAAGTGTTCCCGGTTCCAGTTGACCTAATTAATGCAGCCTAACAATCCTTTATTGTTTGATTTGAATATTATAAATGTGTTAGTGTGTTATGTGTATGCCAGGTTAAAGAGATGGGTCTTTAATCTAGATTTAAACTGACAGAGTGTAGACAGGTAGGTTATTCCAGAGTTTGGGTGCTAAATAGGAAAAAGATCTGCCGCCCGCAGCTGATTTTGATATTCTAGGTTTTATCAAATGGCCAGAGTTTTGAGATTGTAGTGGACATGAAGGACTATAATGCGATAAGAGCTCACTCAAATATTGAGGTGTTAAACCATTCAGGGCATTAAAAGTAAACAGTAATTTATACATTGTTTAATAGGGAACCATTGCAGTGTTGACAGCATCGTTTTCAGGTGTGTGTCAACGTCTTTTCAATTAACCAATGTGTGTTGTATTTTGAATAGATGTGTTTTCCCAATGGTACCCTGAGATTTCATTTTTGAACTAAGTGTCTTATGTATGAAATAGTGTGTAGTGTCTAGGAGCAAGTGTGTTGCAGAAAGGAGCAAGTGTGTTACAGAATTGCAACTAAAGTGCAAAGCAGCGCTTTTGTTTAAGGTATGGTTACACTGTGTTTAAGGTATAGTAACAAAAGCTTCAAGTTTTGTTACTTTGGTCTAAGCATGTGTCTATAGTGTTCAAGCAACGGGCAAAAATTGTAAGTGAAAATTCTACTCTACTAACTAATTTAGCTTTTGTTTATGATGGTTAAGTTGTAAAAAGCCAGAAAATTATTTGAAAAAAATTATGTTACATTTTGGCTTATGTCTAAAGAAATTATATTGATTATGTATGGTATATGGTATTTATAATAAATAATGTCATTGTTTTGGGGAAAATAAGTATTGTTGATAGATATTAAATCAATTAAAAATAGTTAAATTCAGCTTCAGTTCATGCCACATGGTTTATTTTGTTGTCTAATGCAATAGTATTCATACATTTTTAGTGTGGCAGAAGTGTCCAAAACTTTCTGAAGCCACTGTATGTAAATGTACAAACTAGGAAGCTATATGTCATCAGTAGCATTATGTTGAGTGTGTGTGCTTGTGCGTGTGTGTGTGTGTGTGTGAGTGAGAGAGTGTGTGTATGTGTGTGTGTGCTTGTGCGTGTGTGTGTGCGCGTGTGCGTGTGTGTATGTGTGTGTGTGTGTGTGTCTTTGTGCGTGTGTGTGTGCGTGCGTGCGTGCGTGCGTGCGTGTGTGTGTGTGTGTGTGTGCGTGCGTGCGTGCGTGCGTGCGTGTGTGTGTGTGTGTGTGTGCGTGCGTGCGTGCGTGTGCGTGCCTGTGTGTGTGTGTGCGTGCGTGCGTGTGTGTGTGCGTGTGTGTTAGCAGACTGAAGAATAACTGTGTTTGTATGTGCCGTCACATTCACCTCTCCCCCTGTGTCTTTCTATTGTGTGCGTTTCTGCTGAGTGCTACAACTGCAAAAATATCTGTGACACATCTCTCTGTGGGAACTGCAGCAAGGCCTCGACCATTTATCAGCACATCCCGCTATACTCTGTGCATTTATGTGCGTTAGCGGCTATGGATGTCATCATCTGGGTCACCCTACTTAGTGCACTTGATTAGTGTGAGAGAGGGTGAGAAAACGAGGAGAACGAGAGAAAGCAAAGCATACAAACAAATAAACAGCTCGCTCACGCCTGGATTGTTGCAGGCAGGTGCGTCAGACACAGTCAATATAAACCAGTCTCACATACTGCCGTATAGTTTGCACAACATCTTATATATACAGTATTTCATCAGCAATGTTTCAATGTTGAACTTATTCCAGTCTTATAAATTGATTATTTTTAATAGATGTATTATTAATGGTAAATCCACGGTATAGTGATATATGCTATTGTACAGAACGATTATCATATTCATGTACCATGGTATTGTTTTCATGGCATTCCAAGCTACTTCAAAGGATATCATGGTAATGTTACAGTGCAATTACAAGTATGCTATTACCATACTTACAAAACATGTGGCACCTACAAAAAAGGATTTGTAAAAATAGCATTATTTACAGTCATAGAGTTGTTTTGCAAGCCCCATGGTGATGGTACAGTACAAAAAATTATTTAGATTTAAGATTTATACATTTCAAATGCATATCAAATTTACATCCATTTGGATTTTACAGTAACATAAACAAACTGACAAACTTAATGTGACTCATATCCGTCAGACATACATTAATGAAATCTTTAATAGTACTAATAAACTGAATGTGTTTTAAATACACAATAAGCAGGTCTACATATCTATTTGTATCATCAATGAATCCATTTTGTTTCAATTTTATACATGTGAAGCAATTGAATATTAATTGAAAACATATTTGAACCATGTTCATATTTTTTAATTGTGTAGATTTAAAAGTTGTCATAATGAACGGATTTATTCTGATTCTAAGCAATTTGAATAAATGCATTTGGAAAATATGCTCATTTAAATCAAATAAAATAAAAGCAAATAGTTAGTAATAAAATATGCCGTGATTTTTGAGAAATCTCACAAAAGTTTCGTTTATGTATCTCTGACAAACATGCATTTATTAGTTTCTTTATATTAAAACTGCATAATCCAAATGGACAGGCATTTAATATACAATTTAAATACACAAATCTTAAATTTAGGCCTAAATATGTTTGAGTTTCACATGATAATGCTGTTTTTACTTTTATGGTACTGAAATGGCTGCTACCATTGTAAATGTCCAAAAAGTAGTACCATGGTACCATATACAAGGTACTTTTTTGTAGTGAACCCATGATACTGCCATAGTACAGGACTAAAAAGTGTATGAAAGATGGTGTTATGGATAAATAATGAACATTTTAGTGCCATGATACATGTCCAAAAAAATAATAATTGTAGCATCTTTATTTATTTATTTCAGTAACAAAGTGTAAAACACAGAATGCAAATACAAGAACTGTACCGTGGTACCAAGTCCAAGGACACAAGCTGTAACATAAGAGTCAGTGCAGTGGAATGGTGTGGTCAGTGTCTGACCGCTGCTTTCCTCTAGTCAAAACTCCTTTGAGTAATGACAAACACAGTCATCCTGTGAGCGTACAGAGCCAGTGTGTGTGTGGAAATTACATCAGCAACCACAAACCTGACCCGGCCAGACAATAAAGGTCACCCTGAGTGCCAGCCGCCAAAATGGGAGGAAGAGGCAGCCTTTCATTCCTATTCTGGCCGTTCTCTTGTGTTTTATTCCTCTGAGTGAAGGCCTTCCTGACCTCTGCTTGCAGGAACAAGTGGTAAGGAAGTCTAAGCTACTGTATGAGCACTGTGTTGGTCTGCAGTGAACCACACACACACACACATTCATTTTAAAGCTACAAATGCTTACTTTGTCAACAGTTGCCCTGTTTGTCTCTATTTTGGGAGAAACATCTCTCACAACTCCAAAACTTCAATAAAACATAGATTAGAACTTAATTAAGTAGCATGAAGTATAGGACAGCAACCTCTGATCAATTACATTTTCTTCTGCATATGTTTGGATAAAAAAAATCTCAAACTAAAACCAACTAGTTCAAGAAATCAGTGACACTACCTTCATATCTACACTAGGTGGCGCTTCTTCTTACATTCTCTTCTCTCTCTCTCACACACACACACACACATTCTCTCTTGGGTTCAAAGCAAAAGATAAATTGTTCCTCTCTCTCTCTCTCTCTCTCTCTCTCTCTCTCTCTCTCAAGATTGTGGTCTGAAGTCAAATACAATAGAAACGATGGCAGCCATATTTGAGTGTGTGTCCTGAAGGATAAACAAACTGCAGAACAACAAAGGAATAGAAGGCAGAAGCAAGACGTTACAGAGGCGCTTGGGTTTCAAA